TTTAGTGTAAGTGTATGCTGAAACCAGATATTTTTCTGCTTTTTTTCTGCAGCTGCAGGAAGCTGAAGATAGCAGACACTTCATATCTGCCATGCCAGGAAGGCTGGGGATGCATACCACCTCAGAGTAAGGAGATTTGATACAACACTTTATGATAAAACTCTGAAGTGAATGGTATTTCATTGATCACACAAATGTTGGTTTATATTTATGAAAATATAGTATATATGTGCACTTCTTAACTTTTTCATTGCAGAAATAAATAATCTTCTAGTATCAAATTGATTTCAATTATGAGTTTGTAGACATATTAAATTGGCATGTGGAAATGGTCTTATATGAAGAATGACTACATTTAAACACCAAATACCCAAGCAGAAACTGAACCATCCAAAATTTCTTAACTAATACATGCTAACATTCAGGAGTGAAATTTACTTTCAGAACATTTGGACATAGCAAGTATGGTATCCTGAACATGAATTGGACAACCAATGTTCCTGTACCTCTGTCAAACTTTCGCTACCAGCAGTGGCGTAAACGTCAGCAGCCAAAGAAACACCTGGAAGCAGTCATACGGGCTCCACCTACCTCCTCTTCTTCTGTGACGCGTTTTCCCCAGCTAGTCAAACTGCATGAGCTGAAGCTGATAGAGAGTGCCAAGTAATGTGCAGATCACACCCAACACACTGCTGTCTCAACACGTTGGCACACCTAACACACTTGATTGCCTGTGTTTATGTAGTTCATGAGAATTTTTGAACCTCTAAACAGTCAAGGAAAACATCCGAATTTATGTGACACTACTAAAAGAATGCCATTGCTGAGTAATGAAAAATTTATCGTAGTCATGTTTTTTCAAATAGATATGCTTATCTTTATAGGTCTGCAGCAGAACAAGAAATACCGAAAGTTACCTATAGATGGGAGTCTCCCCTCCCTCCTCCTCCAGGTAGACGCTCCAGGCTGGGAGATGCAGACACTGCTAAGCAACACAACCACTACTGTGAATATTATAATCTAGCCAAAAAGAAGATGCACCATTTTACTTCGGTAAGATTGGAAATATTTTTTAAATACAATTTTGACATAGAGGATAAAAAGATAGCTTGATCCTTGAACATTGACCCACATTGGGGAAAATCTCACCTAACGCACCCGTTAGTGTCTCAACTAACACAATTTCACCTAATGTTCAGTTATTGTATTTATTGCTTCCAGTTTTATTTTCAGCATTTCTGTGGAATTTAATTTGGTTACTTAAGAGTAGTATATTATTTCTAAATATTAACTAACACATTGTTTTTCTTTTTGTATTTTTGATGGGGTTTGATGCTGTTTTGTTTTTATAATTTCTTTAGATTACACGTTATCTACACAATAAGCAGTTAACTGCTAACACCACACAATTCCTGCGAGGTGGGTGCGGACAGGAGTAGGTCAGCAGGAATGTTTTGCATGCTCACCACGCTCTGACCTAGGCTGCTATAATGTAGAGCTTAGAATGAACCTTGTCAATAACCCTAAAATATTTTTAAACAGTTGATTTCACATAACATGTGACACCTTATTACTGGAATGATTGTTTATCTCAAGCATGTCTGGTGAAAAGGATTTAAACTGATTCAGAAACAAAATTTTTGATCCTGGTGTCTTTGTAATGCAGATTCATCTAATACTGTACATATCTCCTCCTGCAAGAGGAAAGTTTCTCTTGTTGAAGATCAATTTGGTTTAGCTGCTTTGACCAACAATCAAAAGTTAATTCCATAATAATGAAAACCGTTTCTTTTTTAACCAAAGATTTTACCATCCAAGTATTTGCAGAAATTTCATCAATGGTTTAAGTTTTGATTTGATCCTTGGCCTTTAATTATAGCTAATTTCACTTATGGTTCTTAGAAAAATAACTCCTGCATATGTAGAAATCCTAGATGGTTATAAAAGTTGCATGTGGTGTTCATTTCCTTGGGCAGGGCACTGGATGAGCTATAACTGAACATATGAGTCATTGTTGTCTGCTTTGAAAAGGTTGCATGGTGCTTGTCTAGTATACCACTCTGCCTAGTTTTATACCAATTCACCTAGTTGTATACCTTTGCCTTCTGTTGGTCATTAAAAAATAGTTAATAAATTAATTAGAAAAAAAAACAATAAAAGCTTAAAAAGGTAAATATTTAAATTGTTGACAGAAAAGTCAGTGATGTAAATAAGGGTGCTACAAATGTTGAGCAGCTGATGTCACCATGACTAAACTAATTTATGACATTTGCTAATGACAAAATAGGAAATGAATATATAAAAATTTCTTCAAATATTTCACAATGATGGCTTACACATTGAAAATTGCATATGGTATATTTTAATTAATAATTAATTAAAATCAATAAAACATCATCCGATCCTAATCCTTCTGTATAATGGCATAAAAGTATATGTCATTGAAAGAGAGATTAGGTTTTAGAATAGCTGAATGGATAAATTTTGGGGATCTCGTGTATCCATATCCTTTTGCATGGGTTTTGACTATTAGGCATGTGGACACTTCA